GTACATGACAAACATTTGTACACGACAACATGCAAAGGCCAGGGGCGCCATGGGAGTAGCAAGGTAAAAGGAAACTAGAGAGAGAAGCAAGAACCAAATAATATATAGGTCCTTGAATATCAGGGCTTTACAATCTATTAGAATTACCAGAACTTTAAAACAAACAAAACAGATGTCTGGACTTCTTTTCAGACCAATTAAATCAGAATTTCTAGGGATGACCTGGTTCTAGTATTTTTTTTTAAGTTCCCAAGATGATTCTAACGTATAGCTAGGATTGGAAAGCACTCTTAAACTATAAAGGGAATTACATACGCATATTTATTACTTCAAAACAGAAAAGGTGATCTTAAGTAATTATACCTCTCTGGTTCCTAGTTTCTCTAGTTCTAAAAATGAGCTGGAGCTGACTAGAGGCAGTATACCAGAATGAAAGGAGTAAGAAAACATTACTTTTGTCAATAATTCTGTCACCTGTTAATTGTCCGAACTCAGATTAGAATATCATTTCCTAGGGATAGTAATACCCATCTATGGATTGTTATATAGCTCAAGAGAAAAACTTCTTTTACAGTATTTGACAATTGTTCTAATAAAATATAAGCCACAATATCCAAAGACTTATGATTCCAAAAAAGAATAAATTTTAAGATCATAGTTTCACTGGAGATGAAATCTTTTATGAAGCTTTAGAAACACATTTCATTTGAAGAATTGTCCCTACTTTGGAATTTATAGAAAAATAAAATGGAGAACTGATCCTTTTAATGCTACTCTAGTTGCTAAAGAGATCAAGTGGGACTAAGTTAGCTCTCTTCAAATAAACAGATCAACAAAGCAAATGCCCTTTACATGATAATCTCAATTGTTTAAAAATATTTAGTAAAGGGCACAATGAGGAATAAGCTGCAAAGTAAACTTTTCAAGCAAAAAAAAAGTTATTATGCTCTACTTTATGTCACATAAGTTTTTTATTTCTAAATATAGGTGTTTTTTATTTTATTATTATTTTTTTAAAGGAATACTGATTTGGGATGGAGAGGAGTTTATCCTGACAGGAAGGAAGCTCTGCCTCCAGGACTGTTCCATGCATAGAGCCAGGCAGAGTCACTGCTCTTCTATTACATATATTTAGCTCCATGARAATATACACTCTCATAGAGTATATTTTCAGTTTACATACACTATTTGTATTWAACTGCACTTCTTTAATGCTATACCCAATTAGCCTAATAAAAAAAAAAACTTTAGATAAATAAAATCACTGTTGTGCATTTATATGTGTTTCATTTTAAATTCTTTAATTACTACTGGTAGGACTGCCTTTCAATTCATACTCAATCGATTATAAAATGTTAAATTCATTATTTTCTTATTTCCATCATGTTGTTATTTCTATTTTGTCATGCTACCATTCTTTCAGTTACCAATTTTGTAATTTTAACGGAAAAACATTGTTTTGAAAACTGCAAAATAACTTGGGTAAAGTTATTTATTTCCACCCAAACACTGTCCCAAACCATAAGTTTAAAAAACAAAAACAAAATCAAAAACAAAAAACACTGAACACACATTTGTGCGCTAGGAGACACACAGACACACACACACACACACACACACACACACACACACACGGCTCTCGAGATAATTTTGACTGATGATACTGCAGAACAGTTAATCTGATAATTATAATTTTCCAGAACATGTGATGTTTAGATGGTGATCTATGCTACCAACCAGAATTCAATGCTTCAGTTAAAAATTTTTAAAATTTACATATACAGTCATGCTAACAAAATCTTACACTGTAGTTCTTTGAGGGTCCACTAGTAAAAAAAAAACAAAGTGTTTTGATTAACAAAACTAATTTAGCAACATGGTATCTTAAGTATTTTCCAGGACCTTCCTTAGAATACGCAGTCTGACACATAACGAATTCTGTACAGTGCAAAGTAAACAAATACCCAGAGAACATAGTTTCTAAGCACGAAAACATACGATCAACATTGTCGAAAGTGGTTCAGAGTCGCAGTAAAAAAATCACCCGATTACCTGAAATTTACCTACCCAAGTTTTCTAGGATTTTTTCCCCCCTGGCCTCCACAAACTATGATACAAAACATCGTCCCACAAATCCATGCTCTGCATGTGCACAAAGGCGCAGTGGTGGAATGAGGAAGCTTCATGAAGATGAAATCACAACTCTAATTCATTAAAGAACATGCAGACTTGTTCTACAAAGCCCCCTTTTGTTGTGCTCCCCTTACCCTTTATATAACTATGTAAACAGTTCCCTAATTACTGACATCTAAGAAAATAGCTTTCGATTCCGATTCCCAAGTCTAGTAACATGGTTGGCCACCACCACCACTATTCCTCTAGCATCCTAAAATAAATCCCTCAAGCTGCGGTCAAAACACACTGGCTGAACGTCTGGTGTTTACATAGCCCAATCCTGGGCGCTACCCTATCTTTCTGAGCCACTTAGGAGCTATGAAACAGGCATCACATAAAAGACTTAGTAAAGAAACAAGTCACATGAGACAATGTCTCAGGTCTATGAATGAAAGATCTAMACGTTTGACTGTCTGGTTAAAAGGAAAAAACAACCTCGAAAGGAAGGGTGGGAGGGGAACTGTGAGGTGGGGGGGAGAGGTTTTCCTTCCATACCCCTACCGGGCGATTTAAACCCAGTAAGAGAAAATGCAGGGTCGCCGGGCTGGGCGGCCAGAGTACTCGGGCGTGACAGCCCCTCTGAAGAGCTCAGAGTTCCCTCACGCCGCGGTGCTCGCGGCAGCCCTGCCACCCGCGGGCCGGGTGGGCGTGCGGGGCACTCGAGACCCAGCCACTGTGGCCGGGGCGGCGGCCCTGGGTGCACTTCCTCTGCCTCCAGCCGCCCCATCCCCAAAAATGGGAGGGGAAGGAAACGAGGAGCGAGGCGGCGGCCGGAGGGAGAAAGGAGAGGCAGCGGTGAGCCCTAGCCTCTGCAGCTGGGAGAGGCCAGGGGCAGGCGAGGCGTACAAGGCAGAGGGAGCGGCGATCGCAGGCGAACTCTGCCGCGGGCCAACGCTGGCAGACGACCGGCCGTAGCCCCCGCCCAACACAGCGGGCGCGCCCAGGACTCCCCGGCACCCACCCGGTCCCCATCCCCATCGCGCCACTCCCGGCCAGTCCGCGCTATACTCACGCTTGGGGCTCCTCCAGGTTCCGCGGCTCTAACCGCATCGGGTCCCAGCCCCGCAGGCGGCGGCGACGGCGGCGGCGGCGGCGGCGGCGGCAGCGGCGCCGAGGGAGAGGAGAGCGGGCGGCACGGCCCCCGCCTCCCGGCCCCTCTCCCCCGCCGCTCCGGAGCTGCCCGGCCGGGCCCGAGCCCTGTCTCGCCGGCGGCCCCAGCCCCAGCCCCAGCGGCCGCGGTAGTAGCAGCCCGAGACCTCAGCGGCGGCACCGGAACTGCCGCTTTCTCCTTCTTGCTCGCTGTTCTCGCTAGCCCCCGCCACACGCCCCCGCCCCCGTCTCCTTTCTCTGTCGCCCCTGTTTTTTTTCCTTTTGTTTCCAGAATAAACTTTATTGGTTTCTTTTTCCGCTCACATCGTGTAAACAAACAACGAACTCTTCCCCACCCCCTCGACTCCCCCCCTCGGGCAGAGGAGGGTTAGAGCTAAGGAGGGGCCGAGTCTGCAATGCCCCGGAAGTAGATGTGCAACAGAACGGAAGTGAAATTGAGGCGAGGAGGCGGGGGAAGTGGGCAAAGCGGCCAACAGCGTGCTACTGCGCCTGCGCTATGCTTTTCCGCCCGGAGTGGGGGTGTCAGTGGGGCTGGGTTTTTGGCGAGTATCTGTTGATGCCTGGTCTTCTGCAGTAGTGAGGGTGTTGTGTCATCCTAGGACAGCGTATGTGTCATATATTTGTTTCTACAAGCGACGGGCAGGCTAGGGTAGAGGTATAGAAAGGATTATTGGGAGCGAGTGCGTTTATTCACTTTTATGCCCATAGAGGAAAGATTCGTTGGGGGAAAACGAAGAGAGCTCGTTGACTAACCTCCGCTGTCAGTGGCTAACCAAAAGTGACTGTCGATTCTGTAAAGAAGGCTTATTACAGAGTTGCTGCGCGTCCTTCTGCCAACATTAGTTTAGGTTGTAGCCCATCCCAAAGGTAGAATGCACTGCCACAGGCCTCTTCAATCCTTTGACTCGCTTTGGGAAGACCTTTTACTGTGCCCCCGCTCTTTTTTTCTCCTAATTTGAGTTAATTTTTAGGATTCTCGTCTTGACTATTCAGAAAAATTTTTGTTTGTTTGTTTTCCACGTACAGTCAACAAGCTTCAGAAAAGCTATGTTGGCTATAGACTAGATTCCGGGTGTTTGGTGTCTCGGTGTTGCTTACCAAAGCATTCTTTTTGTGTGAGAGTACAGTAATGGAATCTTTTGAGGTTACTGCTAAGGCTCCTGTTCTCTGAGTTTTCTCCCTCTAGTGGTCTTTTATTGTATTGAAAAGGGGTAGGAGCTGTGATCAGAAGTCTGAGATAAAAGTTTTCCCGCGTCTCATCCCCCTTGAATTTTTAAGGCCATACGATTTGGCAGTATCCCGCTCTAGAGATGTTACAGTCTACTCAGCATCCGAAGCAAAAACGACCAATACCAGTCTTCTTGAACACGACATGTTTGTAACCCAATCTTATATGAGACCCAATCCTCTGTGCGGTCATAGTTTCACTTGAGTGTATTTCTGTATTTCCTGTTTTTTCTTTCTTCCTAAGCACTGGTTTTCATCTCACACTCTAGGGTTTTATGTTTCTCGATATTTTTCTTGACCTAGTGTTTTCAGTAGTTTCAGAACATTGTGTTATTCAGGAGCAGAGAATTAAAAACAACACTGAAATGATAGTCAAGGTAAATCTTAGGATCTTAAGGTAGTGTTTTCAAGCACAAAGTTCTAGGAGATACTAATAGCTAGTGCTTGGTGGGGAAAATTCACGCCAAAGAAATTTTTCTTTCTGAAATTTATTTTTAATAAGTAAAATGATGCTAATTATATGATTTTTGCTATTAAATCGTGTCTTAAAAGCAGAAAGTGCCATATCTGGTACTTGAATGTATGACATTTTTTTTTAATCATAGTGATGTAGTCATCTTAGTTTCTGTAAATGCACTCTTATGTATTCACACCATGACAAAATTGCCTAAAGATTTCTTGGAATGCATACCTGTTGTGAAGCAATGACTGACAGATTGTATATATGTTATTTACTGTCGTTTTGCAATTGAAATGATTGGATGATATGTTAGGGGAGCAGGTAAAGAAAATTAAAGAAAGAAATGCCCATGAAGAGGAAAAATTTACACACCTGTATATGGATTCCAGTGAGCCTTCCCCACATACCCATGCAAGACCAGTGCCTTCCTCCAGACTAGGAATAAACACGGGATAGAATGCATCCTCTTAAAAAGTACATGAAAGTATTTATTGGTGTGGGAATAGCATTTATTACTTAATTCACAGTCTATGCCTTTAGCTTCTTTAGTGATCGTGGGTCTTACATGTTTCATCATATTTTAAGAAATGTTTGCAATTTTTTCCTCTTTTTTTGTGTGTGTGGTGCTGAGGATGAAACTCAAGGCCTTGTGTGTGCTAGGCAAGCACTCTACCACTGAGCCACATTCTCTATCCTTCTTTTGAAATCTACTTTGTCTCATGTTAAATAGCCACTCCAGCTTTCTTTTGATTTGTTTGCATTTTATATCTTCTCCTATCTTTTTTTTTTTGTGTATTTAAAGTGGATTGTCTGTAGGTAGCATATATTGTCTTTTTTAAAAGAACCTCTAATCTCTGCCTTTTAATTGCTGTATTTAGATGATTTGCATTTACTGTAATTATTGGTATAGGATTTAGGCTTACTATTTGTGATTTGATTTCTATTTGTCCCCTATGTTTTTGTTTTAATGTTCCTACTTTTCTGCCTTCTTTTGAAATAGCTGAACATTTTTAAACACTTTATATATTGTCTTTTGGAGAGATAGACATATTTCTCCTCCTCCTCTTTCTTCTTCTCCTTCTCCTTCTGTAGTTGCTTCATGGGTTCTACTATACATAAATGTTCAAAGTCTACTTGTGTTAATATTATACAATTTCAAATAAAATGTCAAAAGAATACTTGCAACCATATATGCTTTCCATTGTCTCTTACCACTCCTTTGCTATACTCTTTCTACTATCATTTCTCTTTAATCTAAAGAAATTTAGCATTGACAAATTTTATTAGTTTTCATTTTTCTAAGAACATTTTAATTTTACTGTAATTCCTGAGATAGTTTAGCTGATTATAGAAGACTGGGTAACAGGGATTGTTTTTGTTTGTTTGTTTTTTTTTCTTTTTCTATCTCAATACTTTAACACTTTTCCCTCATCATCTTCAGGACCTGTCTGTGGTCATTCAAATAGGATGCAATTCGTTTTTTTTTTTTTCCTATATTAATTCAAGGTTTAAGTTTTTTGGTTTTCAGTGGTTTAATTATATTTCTAGTTGTTATTTTCTATAATTTATTCTGTTTGGGTTTGTTAAGTTTCTGACTTATAAATTTATGTAATTCAACGAATTTGGAAAGTTTTTAGCAATTATTTTTTCAAATATTTTTTTCTTCCCCAATTTTCTTCAGGAATCTAATAAATATTAGATGTTTTGATATTGTCCTACATGGCTCTAAAGCACTGTTAATTTTTTTTCAACTTTCTCCTCTTTATTGTTCCTCATATCTGTCTCTACTGGATATTTTGTGTTAATCTATCTTCTAAGTCACTTACTTCTGATTCTTGATATCTGTTTTGCTACTGAACCCACCAAGGTATCTTTAAAATATTAGTTATTTTTCAATTCTTCATTATTAAGTTAGATTTTTAACTAGGGTTTTTTGTTTGTTTGTTTGTTTTGTGTGTGTGTGTGTGTGTGTGTGTGTGTGTGTGTTTGATGATGATGTTAGGTGTTTTGTTCTTTGTGTGTGTGTGTGTGTGTGTGTGTGTGCTGGAACATGTATTTTGCATTCCTTTGAGGTTTGTTAGACTTTACCTTAGAGACCACAGTTAGTAGCTGTTATAGTCTTTCTCTGAAAATGTCAACAATTGGGGCATCTCAGTATTGGCATGTGTTGATTGTATTTTTGTTGTTGTTGTTTTTTAATGTGTCAAGTAACTTTGGAATTATAAAATTTGAAAGTAATGTTGATTTCATTCTGGGTCCTCTTGTGATCTGGATAAAGCTAAAGTTTTATTTGTTTGTTTTAGTAGGCAATCAACATGATTGAGTGAATCTTGTGATCTCAGTTCAGTTTTCAATGCCTTTTCTATTGTGCTTTGGGCCTGCCCTGTGCATGTGTTACTTAGAGGGTAGTCTGACACTAGAGCTGTAGTTTACATTTTAGTTCARGTCTCAAAATCTTGCTATATTTCTTCTGATCTGTTCAACATTTACAAACTCTGGGTGAGCTCCAGACTTGTGAAGCTTTCCATACAGAATTAGGGGATTCCCCTTTTACAGATCTTTCCTCTGGAAGTTCCCCATACCTTAGAGGCCCTTTTTCCTGGTTCTATTTTTCCAGAAAGATGTGTTTCCATTGTAGTTTTTGCCCCTACCTACCATGCTTCTACTCTGYTGCACAGTTCCGGGAGTAGGGTCTTTCCTGGGGGGAAAAAAACATGAAATTAAAAAAGTAAAATATAGACAAAATTGGAACTACTGGTTGTACCTCCAAAGTTTTGACTACCTTCTGTGAAACATTCATTTATGTTTAATTTTCAGAGTCCTCACATAATTGCTGTTTTATTTATCCAGAGCTGTAGAGGAAGAATTAGGCTATTACACCATGTAGGAGGTGAATTATTTTAAAAATAGTTTATTTGTAATTTTTTAGTATGTGTCATACCACTAGATGTAGGAGAGCAATGTTGGTTTTTTATCACTTAGGTGCCAGATGTATAACAGGGGCTCAATATTTGTTGAATGAATGAATGAATGAATGAAATATTACATCAACTTTGCATTCTAGCATCATATTCAGTGGGAAAAACATGTTGATATATATACTAATTGTTAAAAATGGAACAGATCTATAATACAGATGGAAGTGTGGCGCCAGAAGTCACCTGTAGTCATGTGTTGAAAATAAAATCTGCATCTCCCAACCATTAAGTGTTGAGTTCCTGGCGACTTAAATACTCAAAACTGCCCACCCAGGAACGCCACTTGTGTTCCATGCGACAAAAACACTCAGGGGTCACT